ATAGTCTCTTCTTTGGGCCTTCCCATAGTGCATAATGCTGGTTGTTGGCACTATTCGCTTCAAGGACTTTTGCACATCGGGACAGGTAGTATTACCCCATAACTGACCCTTCCAGTAATTATCTATCACCTCTGCTTTCTTAGTTCTATCTTGCTTGCTCTTTTTGAATGCTTAGTGTGCTTGTAATTAGGGAAACTTTTCAATAAAAACTATTTAATTTAGTCTTCAAATCTAGAGTCTTCCTACTCTACCTGACCTTGGTATAAACTAGTGTGCGGTCCCCGGTACCCTTCTGGCCTCCCCTACTAATTTCCCCGAAATCGAGGCAGGCCACTGGTGGTAACAGAAGTTCAATACGGAAGGTACACCTTTTGGAAGATGGACAGAGCATAGCAGTAAAGATAAGGTAGAAAGTACTGGAAATGAGGGTTTCCTGAAAGTATAGGGTTTGTTTAGTGGAAGGCGTTGTTTCTATTGAGATTTCAAATCTAAAACATGCTGGAAGGTTTTATATGGCATCCTGAGCCTCCAGCTTCATCAGTATATGCTCTGCCCAATTCTCCCTTAATGACAAATAAATAATTACCACCACATCCAGTAGAAAATACTATAAAAATACAGACTTTTTGCTTTCAACTGAATTATAGCTTTGTGTTTTGTCCAAAAGATGCATTTTGCCAGGCCCTTCATTTCTTTCACAGAAGGAAAAAAAAACTAAGGCACCAATCTGGTCTACAAGATTACTTTCTTCCACTGATCCTCTGGCATAGATACTTATTTATTGACATTATTTATAGTCTGCCATTCTGACTGAGACTGGTGGATTACACAGTCAATGCAATCAACTGGATGGGACATCTAATAAGCAATGACATTGCATAAATCTGAACAGATCACACATAATTAAGCATGGCACTTTAAGCAAGGAGTAATATATACAGTACACTCCCATGTAACAGCGTGGTTTGTCCCAACCTGGATGGCCAAGGCTTGCTTGATCTTGTCAGATTTTGGAAGCTAAGCAGGGTTGGTCCTGGTTAGTATTTGGATGGGACACCACCAAGGAAGTACAGTGGTCTCTAAGTACAGCCAGGCAATAGCAAACCACCTCTGAACATCTCTTGCCTTGAAAACCCTATGGGGTCACCTTAAGTCAGTTGTGACACGAGGACACACACACGCACGTGTGTGATTAGGCTTGCCAAGTCCCCCCGGGGGGCAGGGAAACCCCCACCCCAGAGGCCCGTTCCCCGCCGCCAGTGGATCGGGCCCCGGGGGGAACCCCACCCTGACGTGCATGTTACCCAGAAGTGAGGCGACCACGCCAGGCACACTGGGGGCGAGGCCACGGTCATCCAAGGGAAAACTCTATGGTTTTCCCTCGGATGGTCGTGGCCCTGCCCCCAGCGTGCCCGGCGGCATCACGTCACTTCCGGGTGACGTGCGCATGCACTCCAGCCGCCAGCCAGGAGTCCTCCGCTGCGGCTCTAAAAACACTTGGCAACCCTATGTGTGATATGGTAGTTAGAATGTTAGACTAGGATCTGGGATACCCAGGTTTGAATCCCAACTTTGTCATGGAAGCTTGCTGGGTGACCTTGGGCCAGTCATACACTCAGCCTAACATACTTCCTAAGGATGTTGTGAGGATAAAATGAAGACTGGCTTCGCGTCCCCATTAGGAATAAAGGTGGGGGTGTAAATTAATTAAATAAATAAATTTAAGCCTAGATACTGTACTCTAGATATGTAAAGTTCAAAGTTGTTTTTGGTTCCTTTATATACTGCACGTTAGGTGTATATTTGCATATTTATTCTTCGCATGAATACTTCCTTTAGAAATCTTGATTCACAACTATTAAGCAGGACACACTATCTAAACCTACCTATTTAAGATCTTACTTACTTAAATGAAACTACTCATTCAACCCAATGGCCTTGAGCAGTATCACACTAATAAAGTTAAAAACAATGCTAATAACCCAACTCCAGACTTGGATTCATTTATTTATTCATATTATAATATCTTGCTATAGCTTGAGGAAAGAGTTTTGCAACAGCTAAAGTCACTACGTGTTCAGTTCCTGCTAAGAGCACTCTGTTTCTCTCCAATAGGTATATTTGCCCTCCCTTGAAGAAGCAGCAAAATCCATAATTCTCTTGTACCTGAGCAAAACATATTCCAAGAGACAATGCTCCAAAATATCAATTTGCCCCAATTGACACTGTGATGATTCCTTGTGTTAGAGTGTGTGTCTCTCTTTAAATGTTTGGTTGCAGTGACTGCAGAGTAGAATGTTTGAGAGAGACATGTGGAGTATGATTGGTGGATGGCAGAGAGTGGCAGGAGCTGGTTTTTTTAGTGAATCTGTGTGGGTGTGTCAGTTATGAAAATCAGTTATGAAAGACAGTTGGGAAAAAAGCAGTTGAGGTTGTTCAGTGGAAATTCAGTCAGTGAGAGAGAGAGTCTAAAGAATCTGTGTGGAATCCGAGAAGGATCAGTATTTGTGTATTAAAGTGATACAGTTGACAAGCTCATTTACAGGAACCTTATTCCCAACCAGTTACATAATTACCAACCTCTTATTTTGTTCCCCTTTCAATAAATCCTCTCTTATTCAAGTTAATCCCAGAAGTCATATCCATTATTACTCAAGACCACAGAGACCCTTGAAAGCCTAGATCCTGGGTCACAATACCAACATAAGAAGCTGAGAGTGGATTTGGAATTTAGAAATTCCTGGTGGCAGCCGAAACTACCTATTTTATAAAAACCCAGTATAATTTAAGGAGAAATCTAGTCCTCCCTAATAGGAGGTCGTCACAGACACAAACACAACCTGAGTAGGAAAACGTCTTATAGTGACCATCCATTACCTGAGAAGTTATTGCATTTAATCTGACTAACATAGGCCCCGGTCACATGGGCCGGATATCGCGGGGGTGTGTGGCTGTTTGCCCCGGAGCGAACTACCGTGCGGCCGCCGGATCAAACGTCCCGCCGAAGTCCGGTGGTTTGGGGGGTGGTGCCGATCATACATCAATCCTGCGGCGCGGCAAAGAAGCGGCGCGGCGGGGGTTGTGGGTTTTTTTAACCCGAAGTGTGCACATGCGCCGTTGGGTGCTTGTGCGCATCCCGTGGAGACTTGGGGGAAAAAACCCTTTTCGCGACAGGACATGGACGGGCACCGGATGCCACGAGCTACCACCGGAAACATGATCAGACGCCCACCCTTGCCCCCGGTTTCCGGAAACTAGTACCTCAGAGGTACTAGTTTTTTACGGCACATCTTCGGCTGGAAGCCTCAGGTTCGCCATGGGAGCTCTACGCTTCCCAGATGTTGCGGTTTGATCGCGCCCGGAAAATCTGCCTATATTCCATCTCTGTAGCGTGGCTAATGCTCCATGTGACCGCAGCCATAAACACTTTTCTATATTGTGGAACAGTTAAATATTTTAAATATTCAGGAGAGACAGTTGGATATGACAAACCTACATGCTCTTTCATAAGAGATCATGAAATCCAGTTCATACAGATGGCTCAGAATCAACATTCAAGCAGCTTCTATTCCCTATGGCCTCAGGTCCTCCATCTGAATTCCCCAGAAAAGGGAGTTTAGGTCCAATTAACTGTAACCAAGGTCTTATTTAAGAGTCCTCCCTCAACAAGGAAGGATAACCAGTCTTATCAAAGACAAAGACCACCTTCAACCACATGAGAAATGCAGCAGCCCAGTCTTGGGCTTCCAAAGAGTGAATTCCCAGTTCTAACCACAGTGTAGTTCCGGCTACACAACCTGGAAAACCTATCTACTTTCAAACCTCATGTCTCACAAGCAACGGAAGTTTAATGCTATAGATGAGATATGCACACACAATTTGTACTTCTCATTCTGGGTAGGGTTTGTACTCTAAAACCTCACAGAACATGAAACTTGAGAACACTAGCTACTCTCATACAGGGGTCATTTCATAGAAAAAGAGGTGTAGGAGCTAACTAGCATAACTCATTTGCATATGCCACACCCCCTGACATCACCAGACGTGTGTCAGAAGGCAACACCCACCCCTCAGGCTCCACTGGACTGTTTTGGATTGCTACCTATTGGGGGGGGGGAATATGCAGATCTGCCCTTGCAGAGGAGAGAGAGCTTGTGCCTGACTAAAACTTGGTCTTAAAGGTGCCACTGGACTGTTTTGGACCTGGGCGGGGTGCTCTGCAACTTACCTGGCTGCCTCTTGCTCTGACTGAGGGCTGCTGGGAGCAGGGGGTGGGGCTTGTGCCCGCCCCCTGGGCTCCTTACTGCTGGAGCTCCGCTCCTGTGCGCTCCTGCAGGAAATGACCCCTGGTTGTAACTGCATTTTACTTTTGATAATTTTTAAAACCATTCTTGTAATGATGATTGACTTTTCAGGCTGTATTCTGAATTCCCTTTGGTGAGGGCCTTTGGCCACCTGCAATAAATATGTCTGTCACAGAGATCTCAAGGACTCAACTGTGCAAATTTATACCAATCCAAAGTCTTTTATTGGCATATAAATAAAGATACAGTAATCTAAATACAAAACCATGCAGAGTAAAATTAAATGTGCAAACTTATAAAACTAGCAAGTTTTCTGGTCGCAACTTCCACCCTTCCGGTCTGGTCCCGTCCCAAATCCACTCCTCAGGATTCCCAACGGAACGTTTCGTCACTTTAGCATCCCCTCCCAACTGCCAGCTGTGGGGAACGTGACGCTTCCCTCCCCGCAGAACACACCAAGAGCCGCGCCAACCCAGCGCAACAGTTTTCCTCCAGCCAATCGCGAGGGAAGTCCCCTCTTCCTACCTCCCATTGGCTAGAACGCGAGCATGTGACCGTGACGGATTCTGGAGGAGGCAAGGGGGGCGCGCTGTGGAAAAGTTGGCGGGGGCGCGCGCGCGCGCTGGCGAACCAGGCGGGGCTGCCGTTTATTTTTTTTTAAAAAAAAAGGAAGCGGAGGCGGTCATCGAAAGCCTGTCCGTCAGGGCGCGTGCCGCGCTCCAGGCGTTGGATTGGGCAGTTAAGGATTTAAAAAAAAAACAACGGCTGTACGTGCTGGCGCGGCCTCTGGTGAGCGACGGCGAGGTTGCCGAGTGTGCGCGTGCGCACGGCGGAGCGCTGCTCGCTCCCGGGGGCGGCCCCGAGCATGGACGCGCAGAGCGGCCGCGGCCTCCGCCCCAAGGAAGGCGAAGGCAGCGGGGTTTAAAGTGGTCGTCCGCACGTGAGGGGACAGCCTCTGCTCCATGCCGGCAGGTAAAAAAAGGAGGAAGCAAACGGGAAAGGTCCTTTTTTCTCAGCTTCTGCGTTTGGTCTTTCCGTCTTAGTGCCGTCGGGGGGGTATGAGCCGTGGCCACTGGTCTCTCTGGAGGGGAGGCAAGGAGCGGCTGTGAACTTAGAAGGGGGGTGGGGAAGAGGAGTGTGCGGCCGGGGCAGGCTGGCTCTGTCCCTCTCCTCCCTGCCTCACTCTTATTTCTTGGGGTCGTCATCAGTGTTCCCTCTAAGCTGAGCTAGTGTGAGCCAGCTCACAGTTTTTTTAGCCTCCGGCTCACACGTTTTTGCCTTCGCCCAGGAAGGAGGGCTCCAAAGCAAACTGATGGATGCAGCAGCCGAATCGCTCTTTCACAGCTTTAATGCCAGGAGCTCACAGAGTAGAATTCTTGCTCACAAGACTCCACAGCTTAGAGGGAATATAGGTCGTCATGTAGGACTGCCGGTTTGGGGGGGGGAATCTTCTTAGGTGGTGGAGAAAGCGCCTCTCGGCCAAGGAGACCGTCTCAGTGGTGTAACAGGTCAGTAGGGGAGGGAGAGAGGCGTTCTGTCCCGTAATGGCGCCAGTCCAGTGAGGCGCCAGTAATCCCACCAGTGTTCCTTCTAAGGTGAGTGAGTGTGAGCTAGCTCACAGTTTTTTAGCCTCCAGCTCACACATTTTGGTCTCAGCTCAGGAAGGATGGCTCCAGAACAAACGGATTTATGCTGTAGCCAAATGGCCTGCTCACCACTTTAATGCCAGCAGCTCAGAAAGTCGATTTTTTTTTTTGCTCACGAGACTCCACAGCTTAGAGAGAGCATTGAATCCCACCCCCCATTTGTGGGGGATTTGTTCTGGGGCAGAGAGCCAGGAGAGAAGGGAGTGTTGTTCTCTGTGTTATGAATTCAAGATGTTTGTTGTTGTTTTGTAGTAGCAGGCTAAGAAGTCGAAGTGGCACCTTGGGGGGGGGCAATTTTTTTTTTAGCCCCCTGAGGGGATTTTTTTATTTTTTTTTATAAGACTTCAAAACCTACTACAGAAAAAAGGGAAGGGGGACTACATATATAGGATAAAGCAAAGAACCCACTACTAACTAAAAACCCAAGAGAGGAGATCTTCACTGGCTTAGTTACAACGAATCTTCATTTCGTTTAGATTGTCATGAACTGAGTCAGACATTTATAATACTTTTGCTTTAACTCTTTAATTTAACTGTCTAGGAACTGTTCCCAGCACCTTAGAAAATTAATTAACACTGGAATAAATTTTGTTGGACTACCTGTTTTGCTGTTAATAACATTTTAAGTTACGTGTCTCTTGCTTCAGGAAGGGAGGATAACAGTTACCCATTCTTCTCTTGGGCATTGCATGCCTTCTGATGAATTCTGGGTTTTAGGAGCAATGCTCCCTCTAAGCTGTGGAGTCTTGTGAGCAAGAATTCTACTCTGTGAGCTACTGGCATTAAAGTTCTGAGCCAGCGATTTGGCTGCTGCATGAATTGGTTTGCTCTGGAGCCGTCCTTTCCTGAGCTAAGGCAAAAATGTGTGAGCTGGAGGCTAAAAAACTGTGAGCTATCTCACACTAACTCACCTTAGAGGGTACACTGTTTAGGAGTGGTTCCTTTAGTGTTTATGTGACAGTACAGAGTCTATAGGAGGGCACCTCTCTTCTGCTCTCCTCTACCATTGTAGACTTTCGTGATTTCTTGACTTACAGCAGGATGTTACTTAAAGGAGTGTGACTGCCTCTGAACATGGAGGCTCCATGTAGGTGAGTATCCCTATGATATTCAGTGTTACTAACATAGAAAGGCTGCTGCCTTATTGAGTCCCAGAAATGCCTGAGGGTATGGTTATTGCAGCTGTACTGAGTGCACTGACTGAATACAGAGCAAGGCTGCGATCACACACACTAAATAATCCACTTTCAATGCACTTTCAAACTGGATTTTGCCAGTTCACACAGTAAAATCCAGTTGTAAAGTGCATTGAAAGTGGATTATTGAGTTTGTGTGATTGAAGCCCTAATGTGGTTAAAGTGTGTGACTAGATGTCAAATCTGCAATAATTGCAGCCAAGAACTGTGGAATGTCTACTGATGCTAATACTCTGGATTCTTCTGAAATTTTCCATTGACAGAAAAAAAATTTATCAGCCAAGTGGGATTTCTTTGCTCATCCCAAAATCCTGGTCCTTGGGTGGGGAAAATAGCATGGTGGGTGAGAGTCAGTCTGCCATAAAAGGATGGAATTGGTGATATCTTTCCCTGCCCCCTACTTCATTGGCAGAAGTCCTCCTTGAGATCCAACCCCATGTATGCAGGTGCTTGCTATTAGTGTTTTAGGAGGTAGCTATGCTGAGGAAGGAAGAGATGGGATAGATAGGAAATGCCCACCCATACCAGTGGAAACGTGTATGAGAAGGTTTCTCTTTCTTATTAGAATAACAACTGAAATGGTAATTGACCTCCCTCCCTGTACTCTGCAAATTTGAGACTTGCCAGGCCGACTGAAGTGAATTTATACTAAAAGCCAAACATTGTCACTATTATATGTTGTCGAAGGGTTTCACAGCCGGAGTTCATTAGTTGCTGTAGATTTTCCGGGTTCTGTGGCCATCGTCTTAGCATTGTAGAACCTGACGTTTCGCCAGTAGCTGTGACTGGCATCCTCAGAGGTATAACACAGAAAAATGGAGTACTCTGTGTGTCAAGGTGAGAAGAAAAATGGTAGGCAGGTAACTTAGATCTACTCCAGAAGGCGGGGTAGGGCTGAGTCACTATCTTGTAGGAACTCCCCAGGCTATGAACATGCTAATGGAGGAGCTTTCCTGAGGAGGTTCTTTTGTATATGGATTGTTTCCTGAGGAGGTTTCTAAACTTTGTACAGTTTAGAAGTCTAATATAAGCTCTTTGGTCTTGTAACCCACCAGTCAAACAAATGGCTGTGACAGTTCTTAAGAGGCTTTATAGGCTTTTCTTGTATTGAACTACGTTTTCTTTTAAACCTAATTATTTTCAAAGATTACAGCTATAACTGAAATTTAAAACAACCGTTTTAAAAATAACTCTCTTTACCCACCCTTTGGCATGTAAGGGGTTTAGTTGTGTTACTCCAGTATTGTTGAATCTGTCACGGGAGACCCTCGGGTTAAGTCCTGAGTGGTGAGGAAGAAGGTTTTTGTTATCTAGTTTTCAGGTGCTTTGTACAGGGAAACGTATCTTCCTTAATTTAGGTGGCGCAAATAACACTATGGCTGACACAGCTTGTTTTAAAACTACCTCGTTATTATAATTTCCTTTTCTGTTGCCATTTTTTAAACTAGAGTTCTAGAAGCAATGAGAAGAGTGTGTTAACGGATCATTAGTTGAACCAAGTGTTCCATCAATGGAGTTTTAGTCTGAGGGTTGTTTGTTGTGTTGTACCATAAGTTAGTCACTCCAATTCAGCAGCTTAACATTTTCTGTAACAAACTATGGAATTTAGGTTAGTAGGTGTGACGACCTCTTCTCTGGGGAGGTCTGGTTTACCTTTAAATGTGTTCTTATGTTTTATTTTACTTTGGGAATCCAGCTGCCACCAGGAAATTTTATTAGGCTTTCCAAACCTTTTTCTATAATATTCCTATCACAGGGTAGGTGGATCGAGAGTTTAGGCGTTCAAGGAACTATGTGTTTCCTGAGGAATAATGGATCAGGCTTCTGGGATAAACTTAACTAAAAAGGATTTATTTGAAGAACAGAGTAAGAAGTTGTTTAAACTGTAATTGGTTTGGAAATAGGTATTTGTAAGTACTTGTCAACTGTATCACACTCTTTGTAACTTTGACTCTCTTTAAGAACTGTAGATTCACTTTACAAATATATACTCCTTTCTCTCTCACACTATCATGGCACAGCACTTTCAGTTCTCTCTCAGGGATTTAGGTATGTAACCTTATAACACTCTTTCTCCGAGACAGAACTTAACTGACTTTCTGCTTCTCTCACAGAAATCAGAACTCCAACTGCTTAACTGAACATCAACTGTCTGCCTAACTGTCTAAACTCTAACAGTCACTCCTGATAGACATTCAAATCATCCACACAGCATCCATTCCAAAACCCCTCCCCCTCTCTGTCACTCACCAATCACACCACTTGCCTGTTTCAACCACACTAGACTTTCACACAGCAATGTAAACCAAACTTTTAAAGACACACACACACAAATAAACATGAAATCGCCACAGTAGGTGACTGGATGAAATAATCAATGATAAATTAATACTCGCTTGGATTACAGGTAAACTTTTGGTAGACTTAAAAATCAGTATTTCTAGGTTAGCAGTGACAAGTTTAAGAAAATTATTGCTGTCTCTGCCACATGCTGATCTGGTATAGTTAACTTCTCATTGTTCTTTGCAAACCTTAGAAACCTGATGACCGGGGGTCATTTCGTAGAAAAAGAGATGCAGGAGCTCATTAGCTTAGCTCATTAGCTTAACTCATTAGCACAACTAATTTGCATATGCCACACCCCCTGACATCACCGGAAGTGTGTCAGAAGGCAACACCCACCGCTCAGGCTCCACTGGACTGTTTTGGATTGCCAGCTGTTGGGGGTGGGACGTGCAGATCTGTCCTCACAGAGGAGGTAGAGCTTGTACCTGAATAAAACTTGGTCTTAAAGGTGCCACTGGACTGTTTTGGGCCAGGGGGCTCTGCATCTTACCTGGCTGCTTCTTGCTCTGACTGAGGGCTGCTGGGAGCAGGGGGTGGGGCTTGCTGCATGTGCCCGCCCCCTGGGTTCTTTACTGCCGGAGCTTCGCTCCTGTGCGCTCCTGCAGGAAATGACCTCTGATGATGACCCAACTAATGATTTGATTATTTGCAGGCTTCTTCTCTGTTATCAGCACACATTGGGATCCCTTTTTCAAAGCGGGTGTAGTAAGCCACATAGGTGCCATGGCATTCGATTGAAATCCACTATTGGCTCTCACTGTGTATGGCTGCGGTGCATGGATGT